ATCTTAGTGCGAAAGCTTTGAGTTTATCTCTATTAAATATGATGTCAGCTGTATGATTTTGTTGCTATTCTTTATCAAGTTGAAGAAGTTACCCACTATTTCTAGTTTGCTGAGAGTTTTTATGATAAAAGGGTGTTTAATTTTATCAAATGCATTTTCTTCATCTATTGATGTGATCATGTGATTTTGTTTCTTTAGCCTGTTGATATGATTAATTACATTAATTGATTTTTTGAATGTTGAACCAGTCTTATGCACCTGGGATAAATTCCCCTTGGTCATGGTGTGTAATTTTCTTTATACTCTCTTGGCTTTAATTTGCTAATATTTTGTTGAGGATTTTTACATCATCTGTGTTCATGAGAGATATTTGTGTATAGTTTTCTTTGTCTGGTTTTGTATTAGGGTATTGCTGGCCTCATAGAATGAGTTAGGAAGTATTTCCTCTGCTTTTGTCTTCTTGAGATTGTAGAGAATTGGTATAATTTCTTCCTTAAATTTTTGGTACAATTCACCAGTGAACCCACGCAGGCCTGGTGTTTTCTGTTTTAAAAGGTTACTAATTGTTGATTCAATTTACAATTATAGGAGTTTTTTTAATACATTCCAGATACGAGTTCCTAATTAGATATATGATTTGCAAATATTTTCCCATTAAGATTTCTTTTTACTGTACAGTTTTAAAGGTATTTACGTTGGGACTATTTTTTAAACTTTTAACGAAATTATTTTCTGAATGCAAATATTGATTTATATAGTACTGATAGTAAATGAATAATGACTTTATTGACTATTCTTTCAGTAAACCTCTTGTTGGAAGGGCAACCTAAATAAGTATTATGAAGACAGATAGAAATAAATAAACAAATAAATAATTGGATGCCTGCTCATTATAGAAAGTTTGGAAAATTTCTTTCCCTCCATTGTGCCTACAATATCTATAACCCATTAACTTTTCAAACTGTTTGATAGATGATTTCTCAGTATACACTGTAGTATTTCTGCTTTGATTGGGCTAGATAGCCCCCCTCCTTTTACTGAGTTATAGCTCACATACTGTACAATTTGCCTTTTTTATCATAGATGGCCTTTTGAGTTGAAAATAACTCAAAAAATGTTTACTCCAGGAGCCAAATTTGTTACCTATTTTGGGTAGAGACTGGAAATTTAGTGAAAATGAAAGATAACTCCATGAAAATCAAACAAAAATTTGATAACTCTCTATCCACTTATTAGTTTCATATGAGTGTTCATAGCTTGGAGGTACCAAATGCAGAAAGATTAATGGGACTTATCAACTTTAAATACTTCAATGTATCAAAGGCCACCATGAAGAGAGTGAAAAAAAAGCTTACAGAATGGGAGAAAACATTTGTAAATCATAAATCTGACAAGGGGCTTGTATGCCAGATTATATAAAGAACTCTTATATCCTAACAATAAAAAAAAAACCAATTTAAAATGGGCAAAGGAGCTGAATAGACATTTGTCAAAAGATACACAAATGGCCAATAAACACATGAAAAGATGCTCAATGTCATCAGCCATTACAGAAATGCAGATCTAGACTACAATGAGATACCGCTTCATACGCACTAGAATGGCTAAAATTTAAAAAAAAAAGACAGTAACAAGAGTTGACCAGGTTGTGGAGGAATTGGAACCCTCAAATATTGCTTGTGGAGTTGTAAACTGGTACAGCCACTTTTGAAAACAGTTTAGTAATTTTTCCAAAAGTTAAACTTCGAGTTACTATATGACCCATCGTTACATCCAAGAAGATTAGAAGCATATGTCTACACAAAACTTGAACACAAATGTTCATAGCAGTGTTATGCATAATAGCCAAAAATGGAAACAATCCCAAAACTACTTTTTGAAGCATCCGTTGTCCACAAGACAGAATACTTTGGAAACAGACTCATTACTTCATTTGGCCACCCGTATCTAGACAGCAGAAGAGATAAGATAGCTTATAGTTAAATGAATCCCATACTTTATTTAATTGTTAAAAGAATTCAGAGGGGAAAAACATCATTGCCTCAGACTGAGGATGTTTGAACAGTGGACAAAATTGCATTGGTAGGAACCAAGTAAAGGTTTGATTTTGAATTTAAGCCAGCAGAATAACTGGTAAGAGTTTTATTTCTCCTTTCCATATACTGATAGTAACAAACATTGTGGTTTCTGGGATGACATATAGGCTGCATAGGCTACTTTATGAGTTAGGAAAATTGTTTCCTAAACAGTGAGTGTGTCTTTATTTTACCAATAGCCAATGCCTGAAAACTCTCGAGTGGCTGTAGACATTGTTCATTTCTCACATTGTCTCCAAATTTGATGAATTTTTTTTTTTATTTTTCCTTTTTCTCCCAAAGCTCCCTGGTACACAGTTGTGTATTTTTAGTTGTGGGTCCTTCTAGTTGTGGCATGTGGGATGCCACCTCAGCATGGCTTCATAAGCAGTGCCATGTCCATGCCCAGGATTTGAACTAGTGAAATCTTGGGCTGCAAAGCAGAGCGCACGAACTTAACCATTCGGCTATGAGGTCGGCCCCTAAATTTGATGAATTTTTATCTTTTATAATTTGCTCTCTGTTCCTATTACTGTTGTCATAAGGAGTTATTTCTTGCTATCCCAATGACTTCCTAGTTGATTTTTCTACTTTCTCTCCACTTCATCCTTTTCATCTTCTACAATGCTCTAAGGATCTTTGTAAGTAGTAGTTGATCTGATGGTATTTCCTCCTTCAGTAGTTCCCAAAGTCATATTTGCAGAAGTACTATTCAGTAACAATTTGTCCAGTCCATGCAAAATGAGCACAATAAGGGGAAGTTCTGGATTTTGTACAAGGAGAATTTGTTGAATTAAAAAGTCGGTTTTTCTTGTTTTCTTCATGTCTGGGGAGCATATAAAATGCACTTTTTTAAAAAAATTGGTGACAAGATTAGATGGTATTTACTATTTTAGATTTCTTTAGTTGTGAAAAGTGGCACTTCTTTCTAAGTTTTTAGTTAAAACACTTTTTATTTTCATCTCTGAAACCCAAAAGTCTTAGAGCCACTGGCCTGTAGGATAAGGTTCCTAGTACCCTGATAATGACATATAAAATGGTTTGGTTTGGAAATATGTGATGAATTCATCTGTTAACACTATTCCAGTTCATTGATTGGGGCTTTGTGGAGTACTTGGTGCAGAAGGCTTGTGAGACCAAGTTTGTGTTAGGCTGAAGAGAGCCACATTCAGTTAGCAAAATACTCTCCGGGCAAGGGATGGATGAAATCTTGATCTAGCCCATAGGAATGGGCTTTTTCAGCTTTGCATCTTCTGCTTTTCTATATATGTGCAAAGTTTATTCTGTAGAATTACCATGAACTAATACGGTTCCTTGAATGATGCAATATGCTTCTCATAATTAAAGCATACTAGAAGATCAAGTAAGTAGTAATGCCTTAGAAGAATTCCTATGGTAGAGTGTTGTCTGTCTGTAATCTCCTTTATCATTTGCCTGCCCAATGAACTCTGTCACCTTCTATGAGTCCTCCCTTACTTTCCTTAGATAGTTAGGCTTTTGCTTTTCTGTAAAACTTTCAACATACTTCCTATTATAGTAACTTATGTATGTTATAATTATTTATTTATTTGTTGTCTATACTCTAGAACTCTGATGGAGCACATTATTTTGGCTCTCATGTTTATCATGTGAATATTAGATTAATGTAGACTGAATGTACGTCCCATGATATATTCCATTTTTAGCATTCTTTTGTCAAGAAATATAACACGTAAAAGAACTTTGTTTCATTTTAATAGTTTAATAAAATGAACATTTACCACATGCTTACATATTAAAATGGTTTTAAAATTGTTTTTTCTTTTATTCCCTAGAAATTACTTTTATTTTAATCTTAAATAAGCTATTGAGAGATTGTATGCCAAATCTGTCTTCGTCTGTTTCTTTGTGTGTGTGTGTCTGTCTCTCTATCTCCAGGTAAGAACTTTGCAATAAAGGAAAAATGATTGTAAAATAAAAGGACAGTTTCAATAATTGTGGTTGAAATATTATGTTCTTATTATTTCAACTGAGTTTTTAAGGAGACTGTTTTTATGCATTATATTGAGTAAACTGCTTAACCAGTTAAAGAGTTAGGGAGAAGCAGTTTGTACATTGTGAGTGACCTTTGTGTTATGCGTCGTTTTATTTTGTGTACATACATTTATATGTTAAAAGAGAAAACCATGGGCTAACATTTTTAAAATATGTACTTGTTTTAGTTGTTTGTTTCTTCATTAATGAAGAAATTCCAGATATTAGGATTTTTTTTAAACATATTTATAGTATTATATGATTGTATTCCTGATAATGGGCTAAATTTTTTATTACTTGAAAGATCTCATTTTCCTAGTAGTGTATTCACAGTCAGTTTACGTATTAGTGCCTTTTTGTTTATCCCATCCACCTCTAAGAAGAGGAAATGGGGACCAGCCCAGTGGTGCAGTGGTTAAGTTCACACTTTCCACTGTGGCAGCCTGGGGTTCACGGGTGTGGACCTATGCACTGCTTGTCAAACCTTGCTATGGCGGACGTTCCACATAGAAAGTAGAAGAAGATGGGCACGGATGTTAGCTCAGGGCTAATCTTCCTCAAAAATAAAAGAGAAGAGGAATAGGTTCCTCAGAAGGTTGAAATATTAAACCAGGAAAACACAGTGATTATAAAGTTTTTGTTCTTCAGTATTTCCTAACCTAGTGTTTATAGACAGTTACATAGAAGTTAAATTAATCTAAATCAGATTGATTACCCAGCAAAGTACAATTACAGTGTAAAAGAACAGATCGGTAAAAGGGAACAAAAACTCTGAGAAACCTTCACGGTAGAAAAATTTTTGCTTGTGAGGAATGAATGGTCCTTGGGAATTTATTAGAGCATTGCAGCTTAAATTTAATACTGAATACAAGCATTTTTTTGTTCTTTAAAAAAATTTTTTTTAACTTACAGTCTACATCAGCATCAGCATCTGCATCACCATTTCAGTCTACATGGTATAGTGAATCTGAGATAACTCAGGGAGCACGCTCAAGATCACAAAACCAGCAACGGGATCATGATTCAAAAAGGCCTAAACTTTCCTGTACAAACTGTACATCTACCTCAGCGGGGAGAAGTGTTGGACATGGTTTAAATTCAGTATCAGGTAAGAATTAAGTTTGTGTAAGAGTCATTATATATGTATTTTGGACTAAAGCCTTTTTCCCAAGACATAGTGTATTAAGCAGGTAGAGTACACTTAAGACAGTGAGTAAGAAATGTAGTAGAGTTTCCAAAATCTTACCTCAAGTTAGCTAGAACTGAAATTAACTCTTCGTTTTTTTCTAAATTTGGTACACATGTCCTACACAAACAGTATATTAGCAGATTTTAATTAATTGGAATAGTTGATATGTATGATAATCAAATTGGTAAAAGTGGCATGTATTGTGATAGTTATTATAGGAAGTAAATTTTTTAATTGTTACTAGGAAAGCCAAGTTTACTGATAAATGTTAAAAATATTTTCTAAGCGTATTTTTTGTAAATGATAAATATTGTAGTATCTGATATTTATTTTCAGAAAATGTCAAAATTCTTTAAACAAAAAGTCATTGGTGGTATTCTAGTAAAAGTTCTGTACAAGGAATTAGAAAGCCATGATTCTAGCCCTCTAACTGGCTGTGGGGCATTGGACCAAATCACTTAACCTCTCTGAGATTTAGATGGTTTTGTACATAAAACTCCATGCTTGGGATTTTGTACTCAGGGACACACAGTTGTTGGACAAATTGGAAAGGTCGTTTATTGAGAGGGCAGAAGCCTCCCTTCTTGCTTATACTGCTCTTCAAATGAAGCACTAACCAATGCCTGAAATAGTTTTAAGGTGAGACAGAATTTGTGATGACACAATTGGAGATAAATTTCTTGAAATGTGTATGTATTAGTAGTCAAATCAGTGTCAGCGATTCTTTTCTATTTTGATAGGCAGGACCACCATGGGAAAGACTGCCCATCTGAAGGATATTAAGAGTAGTGTGATGGATAAGAGCAGACTGACCTTAACTTTGTAGACAGACACCATTGTGCAGAAATATCTTTGTTCTCTTCTGCTGTGTGAAGGCATAGCATTAAATTCCTTGGGCCATTTCCCTTAATGAAGAGGAATTATTAAGGCTCTTGGGAGTAGGAGAGGAAGAGCCAAAATTTCAAGGTAAATAGTGAGGGGAAAAAAGTTTTGAGACTTGAATGAAATCATATCTAACAAAATTTAGATTATAATTGCAGTGATACATTACTTCTTAGAATAAGAATGAACCAAGTATGGTGGCAATGATAATATTTGGTAAAATAGTGTTATAACCTCCAATACAACCTCTTCCATTTCAAGATGCCTTTGATTTTGATTTTGGCTGTTCTCCACTGTCACTTTCATTGACTTTTCATGAAATTCTGCATCTTTGGCAAGCTTTGCATTTTTGTTCTGTAGTCATTTTATATCATGTTTACATTGTGTGGTCAGATGTTCTAGAGAGCGACTGAGCCATTGGCATCGTGGAGGGGGTAGATTTTAGTGTTAGAGAAGAACGCGTTTGAGTAGGAAATAATGTAAGTGATGAGTGAATAATTTTGCTGTGCTGAATTTTGCTTCTGATTGCAACTATGTAACTGGGGAGTCCTATAATAAATCACAATAATCTCTGTGTGTAATACTGAAGATTTGTTATCATCAGAAACCTTGAGAGCTTTCTCTGAATTAAAACTTCTTCAATTATTTTGAGATTCTTCTTGGAGGCATGGTCAGGTTCCCAGATCTTCATCGATGGTACTTGGATCATTTGGAACTGACTTAATGAGAGAGAGGAGAGCTGATTCCTCCGTTAGTAATCTTGTGGACTATAGTCACCGAAGTGGTGATTTCACAACTTCATCGTGTATGTATAAACACTATTGTTATATGTAACTTATGTAATAATGTTATGTTTTCCTCTTTATGGATATCATTAAAATCACAGTAGAAAGGAATAAAGTGAATCTTAGGAAGGTTTCAGGATAGTTTAATATGTTTCCTATTACCTCATTTGTTGTTTTGCTTTAAAGAATGTAAACAATTTAAAATAGATGTACATGAGTATCCAGATTCTGTCTGCCTATAATTTTTTACTTGTATTTTTCCTTTTAAGAATGTATATCATAAAATATACTAAATAATTCTTGTATTCTCCAATATAATTTGCCTTATATAGTATAATAATTACTTACAGTTAAATTCTGAACTAAAGATTGAAATCACCATTTAAAGACATAATTTAGAATTACTTTAGTTTAATATGCATGTGCCTTTATTTTCATTTAGTTGAAATAAATACCCACACTGTTTCTGTCAGGGTACATAAGCTTAAACTTCTCAGAAATAAGTACCATAAAATAATAATACTAAGTAATTGAAGACAAAAGGTGCTAATGGAAGTTGACAAATATAGCAGACAAAAGTGGAGTTTGATTTAAATAGAAGAAAATACATTTATTTTTAAAGGTTTAGGTAATTTTAAATAATCTTATTGGGGCAAGCCTTTGCTTTATTTAAGACAAATGAAAATATGTTTTTATTTATTTGGCTTTGGGTGGAGGAGCTTTAGTGGACAGTATCAATAGCTTCCAGGTTTGGAGATATAAAAACACAGGATAGAATAAATTTATTCCAACAGTTTATCCTTTCATGAGGTTCCATGTATTAGCCCAGTAGCAATCTAGCTCTTAAATTAGGCATATGGCTAAGTATTCTTTATCAACAAATGCTATAGTACTTCTCATCCCATTTGAAGATGAGACCCACCAGTGGTGTACTTTTAAAATTGGAGTCGCCAGGCCTCTATTCTGACTCTTAGCTTCCCAGCCAGTATTAAAAAGCAGAGGTATGTCTGATGAGTAACCAGGGATAAGAACCTCTGCTGTTAACTTGAAAGAAAAGATAAAAGATGGAAGAAATTTTTAGCTGTTAGCAAAGTTTGTCATAAAACTCAAAGGTTAATAATACTTACATGAAATAACTTTTGTACTTATTGCAGAGTAAGAAAAATCTCCAAATCACTGTCTCCCTAGGGTTATTTTGCTTTATTTATGAGTCATTTTCATTGAATTATTTCGCCCATTTAAAATTCCTTATTTGTTATCACATATTCTTCTGTCATGTCAATTTCTGGTTAATAAATTCAACTGTTTTACCTTCATCAAGTTGGTAGATTGATGTTTGCCTCTCATAAGCTATGATACATTTCTTTCTCCTGAATTTGTATTGTTGACTTTATATGGCAGTGCTGGATTTTACCAAAGGTATAGAAAGAGAGATAGATTTGCTTCTTCTGTAATAATAAGTAAGCTGTGTAGTTATGTTATAGCAGTATTCATTTTGAATCCAATGTTTCATTTTGGCAGTAATTCGTAGTTTTAATAATACTCAAATTATTTCATGTAATCGGTTATCTTTCTTTCAAAAACAGATGTTCAAGACAGAGTTCCTTCTTCGTATTCACAGGGAGCAAGACCAAAAGAGAACTCACTGAGCACTTTGCAGTTGAATACATCATCCACAAACTACCAAATGCCTTCTGAACATCATACCATAGCGTGTTCTAGGGACTCTAGTAGAAATTCTTTAAGATCGAATTTTTCTTCAAGAGAATTGGAATCTCCCCAACGTAGTACACAGCCTGGATTTTCTTATATTTCAAATAGAGATGAACCCTCACCCATAAGCAGTTCAGATAGGGTTGGTTCATCTCAAAGAACATTTCAAGACTCTTCTGACAATGAAGGTAGACGTACGACTAGGAGATTGCTATCACGTATAGCTTCTAGTATGTCATCTACTTTTTTTTCACGAAGATCTAGTCAGGATTCCTTGAATACAAGATCAAGTTCTGAAAATTCTTACGTTTCTCCAAGAATCTTGACAGCTTCACAGTCTCGTAGTAATGCAGCCTCAACTTCTGATGTTTCTGATAATAGGGCATCTGAAGCTTCTCAGGGATTTAGATTTCTTAGGCGAAGATGGGGTTTGTCATCTCTTAGCCAAAATCATAGCTCTGAGCCAGATTCAGAAAATTTTAACCAAGAATCTGAAGGTAGAAATACAGGACCATGGTTATCTTCCTCACTTAGAAATAGATGCACACCCTTGTTCTCTAGAAGGAGGCGTGAGGGACGAGATGAATCTTCAAGGATACCTACCTCTGATATACCATCTAGATCTCATATTTTTAGAAGAGAATCAAATGAAGTGGTTCACCTTGAAACACAGAGTAATCCTATTGGAGCTGCTGCCAACAGACCACAAGCATCTGCAGCATCTAGCAGCGCTGCCACAGGTGGCTCCACATCAGATTCGGCTCACAGTGGAAGAAATACAGGAATAACAGGGATTCTTCCTGGTTCCTTATTCCGATTTGCAGTCCCCCCAGCACTTGGAAATAATCTGACCGACAATGTTATGATCACTGTGGATATTATTCCTTCAGGTTGGAGTTCATCTAATGGAAAAAGTGATAAAACTAAAAGTGCACCTTCAAGAGACCCAGAAAGACTGCAGAAAATAAAAGAAAGGTAAATTTGAATACTTGGCTTAAGCCTGTAAAGCAAGAGGAAATTAGAGAAAGAACTCTTTATTTCTAAAATGGCTTCTCATAACATTGATATCTGAAATTTCTTCCCTTAAAATTTGCATCCAGTAAGATGTTAGCAGCTTACTCAGAGGTAAACTGGATGAGAATTAATAATAGAGGTAGGCACTGTAGATTACATCAAGAAATAATCTAAAGATTATTTTTAACCTGCTTTGGATACAGTTACATACAAAGACAAAAATCTTACTCTCTTATCGTATTCCTTGGTAGACTAGTGCCATATGGGATTGCTAAGAGGGTCCAAGTGGTCATGGATTATCAAGATAATCTGTCTTAGCCTTTGCTCAGGTCGTTTATTTCTGTTTTCTCACTTCAAATCTTTTTTGGAATGAAGTGAAATTATTTGCACAAATGTTTTATTTCATTTTTGAAATCCCAAGTATATACTAAATATTCTTGATATATTGTGAATATTTGACAGAAATACCAGTTTAAATTCAGGACTTAGAATCTTTTTATACAAAATGAATTTGTAGAGTTGAAGAGTTGTAGAGTTGAAGATTGCCTAAACATCTCTGGTAAGCATGAAAAGATGGAAGATCAGAGATTTTAGTCCCAACTTGATTATTAATTTTGTCGTCTTAATGTAGGTACTTGTTTGCTTTTTTTCTACCCAGAGAGAGCGTGAGTAGAAATACCAAAAAATATTGTTTGTGTTTATGAATGACTGGAAATGATTAACCAGGATGAGTTATGATAGCTATGTTTAGGAAATGTGCCTTTTTTCCAGCCTCCTTTTAGAGGACTCTGAAGAAGAAGAAGGTGACTTATGTAGAATTTGTCAGATGGCAGCTGCATCATCATCTAACTTGCTGATAGAGCCATGCAAGTGCACAGGAAGTTTGCAGTATGTCCACCAAGAGTGTATGAAAAAGTGGTTACAGGCCAAAATTAACTCTGGTAAGATTCACCCTTTTGTGTATTTTGTTTTCACAATTTTTCCAAGGGATGCATGTATGTATGCATTGTAGATAACAAATGTAATAATTGACTGTCAAGTTTATCATCTTATCAGAAGTGTCTTAATCATTTTTTGGAGAAAAAGCATTAAAGAGCGTTACTCTTGCATTATAAATTTATAGTATTTCTTAAGTTCTATTTACTTCTTCATACATGTATATAATACAGCTGTGATTTGTTATTCATGGTGACCGTTATATCACGTAAGATCCTTTGAATCGAGGAAATATATTTACCATTTACCAGCTACGTGTCCTTGAGAAAGATTTATTATTTCTAATGCTGTTATACAGTAATTATTTTAGTGATTCATTGTTTATTGAATGCGTATTATGGAGCGAGGCACAGTTCTAGATGTGGCGTATAGAGTAGTGTAAACAAGACAGACAAGGTGCTAGCTCTTGTGATGGTGGTGGTATTGGGTGTTAAAGGAATGCCTTGTTGAAGTGAGGACATCTAAACTGAATGACTTCCAGAATGAGGGCAAGAACATTCCAGCAGAGGGGACAACTATTGCAAAGACTTTAAGGTGGGAATGACTTAGGTGTGTTTGAAGAACTGAATTAAACCCAGTGTGGCTGGAGTATATAATTAGTGGGCAAGGAGAGGGGTGATACAGTGGAGTTAAGAGAGATTAGCAGAGGCTAGCACATTCAAGACTTTTAAAGCTAACGTTTGAAGCTTAGATTTTTATCTAAGTGTAACGGGAAGCCAGTGAAGGGCAGGGGAGTAAAATGATCTTTTTTATATTTTGGCTGCTCTGTGGAGAATGGATTTTAGGGGAACAAGAGTAGAACAGGGATTCCACCAGGAATCTATTGTGACCAACCAGGAATCTGTCTTACAAGAGGTGGTGATGGTGGTGGTAGAAATGGCTAGATTCTGGTATGTTTTGGAGGTAGATTCTAATAAGACTTGCCAGTGGATTGGGTGTGGTGGAGTGTAGGAGAAAGAACAGTTAGTGAAGCTAGTTTTTGCCTTGAGCAAATAAGTAAATGGTGGGGCCATTTCCTGAAATAAAGAAGCCTGGGAATGGAATAAGGTTGGGACAGGAAATCAAGAGTTCTGTTTTGGAGATATTATATATGAACTGCTTATTAGATAACCATATGCAAATGTCACCTAGGCAGTTAGCTAGACAAGCCTAGTGTTTCAGGAGTTATTAGCACTGAAAGTTTACAGTGTTGGGAATCATGAGCACATAAATAATATTTTAAACTTTGGGATTAAATAAAGGTACTACAGCAACAGTAGATATCAAAGAAATGAGCCCAGGGCAGAGCCCTGGGGCACCCAGGCATTCAGTGGGAGCAGAGAAGGAGATTTGAAGAACAGCCTCAGTCTGGTAAGATGAAAACTAAGAAAATGTAGTGTTGGGCAAGCCAGAAGAAGAAAGCGTTTTAAGGAGGTGTGATCAGCCCTGTCAAGTACTGGAAAGAGATCAGAACAAGGAGATAAGAACAAAGAAATGATTGGGACTTTTGCCAGGCAAATATGATGAAGGGAGTTAAGGGTATCTGTAAGGATATAATTGTGATGATCATGGAAATTAAACAAAGTCAGGAGGGAAGTAAAGACATCAGGAAGTGCATAGTGAGAAAATGGTAGGGTCAGTGTCTTTGAGTCTCATTGACATTGAAGAGAATTGCCAGAGTAGATGAGCTAGAATGATGGGAAATTGTAGGTATACAGGAGGCGGGATGCTTAAAATACAAATTGAGGGGTAGAACAGTAAATTGTGATGACAGGGTCAAGGATATGACTAACAGATTGGGTGGCTGAGGTGGGGAAGGGTAATATTAGAAGCAAGGATGTTGAGGAAGTCAGAATCAAAAGTGAAAGGTCAATGTGGATGTTGAAATATCCAAGAAGTAAGCTGGTGAAGAAGATAGAGTGCCAAGTGCTAAAGTCCTTAATGAACAAGGAGGGACTTGGAGTTTCAAAACAGCAATAGGTATGAGGAGGCATCTTTCCCACTTCTTGGTCCTGAGGTACAAGGGGTTGTGGAAAAAAATGGCTGCAGAAGATTATGTATCATTCCTGAGGGCATTGTGGTTCAGGCATGAAGTTGAAGAGATCATTTAAAAAGAGATTGGTTAGGAGAGGAATTTATTTATGTTAGACCATGAGTACCAGGGGACATAGTGAAATGACTAGTAGAGTGAGAAAGATGGGAAATTAGATTAGATTAATAATTGTACATAATTGTGTGAGATTGAGGGTCTAATAATAGCTTGGTGATGCAGGCAAATAGATTGTCAGGTATGATGATGTTCATTTTAATTTTAATAATCTATTGAAGGACTTAGGCAACCTGTTCAAGCTGGAGATTATGAGGCTACTAGGAAACTTTTTTTCTGCAGCCAGGTAGCAAAGGCCTCCTTGGGGTAGGGGGCTTATCTTTTCTAGGCTAGCCTAATCCCAAAGTTGTGGGATGGGCCATCTCACCTATAGCAGTCTCTTCTTGGCTACATGGTATTATGACAACCTTATAGGCTTTATGAGTCTCTGCCCTGGTGTGCTATTAAGGTTAAATCAGTACTCAGCATGGTTATTGAAACTTAGTAAGGGCCCAGAAATGTTAGCTATTACCAAAATGAAAAATAACTTCACTCACCTTCTGATATATTTGCAGTTGGATTGTTAGTGTTGCGGAGGTAGGAAAACAGATAATACAATGTATTGTTTAAGAATACTGGCTTTTTGGAGTTAGATAGGCCTAGAGTGGAGTAATGGCTCAGACACTAACTATAGAATCTTGAGTAAATTTCTTAACATTGGTTCTCAACCCTGGCTGCTAGTCAGAATTAACCATTGGAGTTTTTAAAATAGAGATGTCTCAGATCTCTCCTGAGCATTCTTAAGTAGATCTGGGGTTGGGCCTCAGTTCCATCATGAGTAAAATTGAGTAATGCTTAGCTCATAGGGTGGTTGTGAAGGTCAGATGAGATGATGTTTATAAATAGTCTCTCACAGTACTGGGGACGTGGTAGGTACTCAGTTGAATGGGTTTTATAAAGTTATAAGTAGTACTTTTTAAGATATGGTTAAATGAATATAAAGACCTCAAAAACTGAACCTTCCTGATAAATTTTCACAAGCCTTTCTCATACTTATATAAAGATCCCATCCTCGTAGAAGATTTGTTCTGGTAGAGATTCATTTAAACATTTATTAAGCAGCTGTTATGGACTGTTAAACTCTGTAGGGATGTACAAAAATGGGTAAAACAAGTCTAGTCCAAGTTTAGGCAAATGCAGTCAGGGCCTCCTGAATTGAAGGTAGGGTATGATGGAAAGAGCCCTGAAATAAAGAATGGTTCCTCCCAGCTCTGTATGGCCTTTTTGAACAACTTGTGTATGTCACTTATCCCTAGATGAGAAAAATGAAGCACTAAGATGAAAAAGAATTTGTACTAAATGACCTCCAAGGTTCTTATTTTATGATCATCATACTTTTCCTGCTTTTGAACAGAGAATAGTTCTTAAAAATCCCTAAGAGAAAGCCTTCCAAATGTCTTTCACATTCTTCATATTCTCCATCAGGTCATAATATGGACTTACTCTGTGTTTAATTCATTGGTACAGTATTACTTTTTTAAAATTAAGAAAATATTGCAGATGCATTTTAATTTCAACATCTTCATGTATGCTAGACTCCTAAAGAAAACAACTCGGTTTTATTCATATACTTGAAATAGAGTGAGTATCTTACGTAACTGACTACAGCACATTTTGAGACAGCATACTACCTCAGAATAGCACTCATTTTCCTTTCAGCTATTTTCTAGAAAATGTATATGTTCTATTGCTGTCTTGAATTTAATGCTTTAAATTTTACTTTTTAAAGAATTGTTTCTTATTAAATAACACTAATTCTAAGAGTTTTATGAAATCCTTGAAGACAGTGGTTACTATTTACTCTTTTCTTTGTGATTCTCCAGAACCTCTAATAATTGCTTGGCACAGGATGCTCAACAAATGTTAGCTCAATTGACTCTAAACCTCTAACCTTTTACTCACATGACTTACTCTGATTTTTAGGACATTTTTTCAATCTAAAGCCCTATCTAAAAATACACAGGGGAGGAAAATGGTTATATATTTAATTAGACAAGACTACTACCTACTTAATTGGAGCCAGAAGCTTAGGAGTGACCAAATGTTGAATGCATATGGCACGGAAAGAGTTTTTTGTTCTCTTTTAATTGTAATAAGATATATATAATGTAAAATGTGCCCTTTTGACCATTTTAAGTGTACAGTTCAGCGGCATTAAGTACATTCAGAATATTGTGCCACCGTCACCACTATCTATTTCCAAAACTTTTTCATTACCCCAATGAGAAACTCTGTACCCATTAAGCAAGAACTCCCTCCATTCTCCCCCCAATCCCAGTAACTTCTGATCTTCTTTCTCTCTGAATTTGCCTATTCTACGTATTTCATATAAGTAGAATCATACAATATTTGTCCTTTTTGTATCTGCCTTATTTTACTTACCATAACATTTTCAAGGTTCATCCATGTTGTAGCATGTATCAGGACTTCATTCCTTTTATGGCTGACAGGAGCTGTTTTGATCTGGACAGAGGTGGATCCCTTTTTTCCCTCCTAGTCTATAGGGAAGGCACATTCCTTAGACCAGGAAAGATCTTAGGTCTCTGTTGTCACAGCAAAGATGTGGCCTAGGTAAATGTAACTAGTTGTTCGAGATAATGTATTATTAAACATTGTTTTCGTGGCATCTTGCCAAGATACTTAAGGAGGAAGTAGGAAATACAGATGACATTCCATTCCTGTGATCAGGGATATATGAGTATCTGGGAGTAAAAACCAGCAGATATCTAAATAATGACTGGAGGCTTAAATACCATAGAGTAGGGCCTGACCTGCACATTAGGTGTTACTGGTTACTATTTTAGGAGACATTCTGGTTAATGGCAGTAATGCAATCTCCCTTCCTTCCTCCCTCCCTCCCTCCCTCTTTCCTTCCTTCCTTTTGTTTTTCTATATTGTAAGCTTAAAACTGACATGAAAAAATGTTTTGTGGAGATATAGCAAGTCTAAGCTTTACTTACAATTTCATTTTTACCAGGTTCTTCATTAGAGGCTGTAACCACCTGTGAACTCTGTAAAGAAAAGTTGCAGCTTAACCTGGAGGATTTTGATATTCATGAACTACATAGAGCTCATGCAAATGAACAAGTTAGTATATTTTGCCTAATTTGGTAAGTGTCTATTCTGTGCTTAAAGGACAACTCTTGAAGAAAAGATTAAATCATGGTCAGAAAACCTGCACTCAAATAATAATAATAATAATAATGGTAATAATATTTTAACATAATTCTGTTACTGCATTAGCTGTTATAATTTTATACTTTTTTCTTTATTTTCTCCATATCTTTTTGTAGGTGAAAAACAAATAACTAAGTCTCAGGTTTTAAATGTAATACGATAAAATTCATTATATGCTTCCTAAATAAACCTGAAAATAAAAAAGACTTAGGAAGATAGTCCCAGAGTAGCCATGCCAACCTTATCTCACCAGAACTGTCTCAGTTGTGAATACCTCTGAGTGCTAGAACATATTTGAAACACCAAGCCCTGGATCTACATCCTATTTCTCTATTTTTTATGTTAGGAATAATTTTTATGTTCTGGTCTAACCCCATGTTCTTCCTACTGTCCTAGTTCCCTCCACCTTCCCCATTCCTGCCTCCAACTTTATGTTGAACAGGTTGCCTTCTTGTTCACATTGTTTCTCTTTTCTTTATATTTGTGTCATTACAGTTGAGCTGTTATTTATATAGTGAGTAATGTCAAGGTTTCTCTGATCATACTAATTTTTTTTCAAACATTTTCATTTCTCAGATTTTTGGGTATGTATTAACTCCCCTCACAATAATTGATTTGATCATTAATTGTTTCTTGAAGCTTTAAATTTAAAAAAAAAATTTTTTAAACAGTTCTTTTTTTTTTTTGGAGGAAAATTAGCCCTGAGCTAACATCTGCCACCAATCCTCCTCTTTTTGCTGAGGAAGACTGGCCCTGAGCTAACATCTGTGCCCATCTTCCTCTACTTGATATGTGGGACGCCTACCACAGTGTGGCTTGACAAGCGGGTGCCATATCCGTACCCAGGATTCAAACTGGCGAAATCCTGGGCTGCCAAAGCGGAGCACTCGAACTTAACCACTTGGCCACGGGGCCAGCCCCTAGCATATTTCTTATAAAAAGAGAGATGGTGGTGAGAGAATACCTGAATTCTTGAAAAACACTTTTTTAATGAAGGGGTAATGGATATACGCCCCTTTTTTTTCATTGAGATGAAGTTCGCATAACATAAAAACCATTTTAAAGTGAACAGTTCAATGGTATTAGTACATTTGCAGTGTTGTACAACCACCACCTCTACCTAGTTTCAAGACATTTGCATCTCTCCAAAAGAAAATCTTGTGCCCATTAAGCAGTGGCTGCTCCCCATTCTCCGCTTCCTCCATTCCCTCACAACCACTTGTCTGTGTTCTGTCTCAATGGATTTATCTATTCTGGATATTTCATGTAAGTGGAATCATGTTGTATATGATCTTTTGTGCACACTCTTTACTTTTAAAATGTGAGAATAATAGATACCCTTTGAAATCTGATTAAAACTATGGGCACTCCTTACAAAATATGCATAGACAAAATCTGTATATGATTTAAGGGATTCCCAGATCCCTTGAAACTAATTACTTAGATCCAGGTTAAGAATCACTGATCTAATGAATGAAACATTACGCGGTTGATGTAGACAGATGCTACTATAATACTAATTATTGATTTATTCTCTAATGAGCCACTTGTGCAAAAAGAATGCCACTTTCAAAAAAGAATTCTCTTAAATCCCCAAGGTATCTCTCTAGATAGCTGAGCATTGGTATTTTAAAGAACGGGGGAAAAAGAGTATGGAAAGGTGGAATCATGCCAAGACTTTTTTTTTTGTCTTCTCAAAATGAGAGTAGGTTTCAAAGGATGATTTCTCCTGCCATTCTTCCTTCTCTGGGTGCTCCATCATGTTTCTTAAAGGAGGTTCCTTGGCTTTTCAGTTCAGACAAGAATGTTTTAATTATTCTCCAAGGATTTTAATGACCCACAATCTTAAATAATTTCGAAGTGTTAGGAAATATTAGGTGGAGTCATTACAAAAACAGTCACAGTCGTGATTAAGCTTCCTGGCTTTAACTTCTTTGTCCTATGTGAATCATTGATTCTAGTGGCCTGATAACTACCCTCATTTTAAATGATTAGTTTAATACAGTTCATTTTCTCATCCAGTGGCTTCATCTTTTTCAAGGTGACAACCGTTAAAATTTTTTTTTAATCTTCTAGCTTATATTATTTCCTTTTAAGTTATAAATAAGCAAAGTAAGTGAAGCATTTAAAAAAACTTTTAATAAGTCAATTTCAAATTTCTTGAATACTCTGTAGAATTTGATAATCAGTTACTTGCTGAAGTTGGTACTAAGAATGTACAGTTCTCAACTTCAGATGAGTTAATTACCAAAAAGTGCTACAACTTACAGATAGTTTACTGTATAAAAATTACAGGACAGATTAGATTTTTAATAATACTATATACATGATTTGCATTCTTAGCTTCAAAACAACATAACACTTTTGAACCAAAGAATTATTTTTACCCACTACAAATTTCTATGTGAATGATGTGAGGAGCAGTCACTCTATTACCTTTATTAGTTCATTTTTATATTTACTGTTACCTTTAAGTTACTCATATTGCATAAGACACACTTGACCTACCAGAATAAGTTTTAGTTACATAGTATATTTACTTAGCTGTAGATGAAGTAATTTTTTAAGTAAACATTTATAGCCATTTGTGTAATAAAATCTGTTCTGAGCTTTATAGAGAACCAGAGCATTCATTCTACCATCAAATGATTTAAAAGTCCCACTTCTATATAAATCATTGCATAAAGGAAGACTATATGAGAATAAAGAAGATATTTACACACCTATTTCAACTCTATATGGCATTAGTGAAATTTTATGAAATATGAAGGGGAGCCTTTTTATATCTTGTTTTAGTAGATAGCACCATATCTCTTCCTAGGAACTGGATATGAATACATTTCCTGTAGTTTAATCAGTGTACTATGAATATCAGTCTCAAGTCTACTAATTTTTCATTCTCCCTATTCTTCTTTTTCTCTTGTTTGCTTCCCTATTGAAGGCTGAGTATGAGTTTATCAGCTCTGGTCTCTACCTAGTTGTGTTACTGCACTTGTGCGAACAAAGCTTTTCTGATATGATGGGAAATACAAATGAACCAAGCACACGTGTCCGAGTAAGTAATATTCGAGTCGGGGAGAAGGGAGGGTGTGATGCAGCAAGTGTTTGCTTTGGAAAGCAGATTGTTTTCTGTGTTCACATTCTCTTTCCTTTGGGGAGTTCTTGTATTAAAATGTTTCTTAAAAATAAAGATGACATAGATTTCATAGAAATTACTGTCTTCCTTAATTCTATATCAAGCAGCCTAATTTTCTCATAAAGCTGTTTTAGAAAAAGAAGTAATTTTCTAGCTCTTGAAGGTAATTGGAATATATTTCAGTGAAAAACAGGGACAGAATTAGAAACACAAAGGGAAAATGCTCTTCTTAATTAAAAAAAAAACCAAAAACTTGGTGTTATAACTTAGAAACCTGAAATTGCACTCCAAAAACCAAAAGAGTTTAGGAAATTAACTTCAGTTTATTTGTTGCTGTCATGAAAAGATTACCAGTGTACTAATTTTTAAGTGTTCATGTTATAAACTACTTAAGACTTGGGCTATTTCGTGTTTACTCTGTACACGATTATCTTAACACTTAGGCTAGCTGTTTATTGTATTTATAAGTAAATGATCCTGTTTGCCTCAGTATACCAGAGGAAATTTATACTTTGCTGCCTTGCCCATTTTGTGTAGCAGGGTCTAGGGTCTACATCTCATCACTCTAGAGTTCTGAACACTTCATATTTTGAAATGTGTTCATAAACATATCCTTCAAACTATTTTTTATATAAATGTTGGCTTTGGTGATAAAAATTTAGTAGTTTATGATAAGGTGTAATTTTTCTATTTTATTTTGCAAATTATCAAATAACCAATTCAGTATATATAATACTGCTTCTAAATTGGTAAAATGTTTTTCTGTAATCATGTGGACATTATTCCTGTGAGCCAATTGAGAGATTATATCATTGAGAGAAAAGAGAATATCAAGAGCGTTCAGAATTTGAGCAAAGCTCCCTTCTAAGTACTTTAGAAATCAGAGTACTTAAATTTAGTTACTGCCATAAAATGATTTCTAAAAGGGTGATGTATCTCTTCAGAATGAATAAACTATATAAAGCATATAATAAGATCTTTGGAATTCCTGCCATTTAAAAGGTATAGACAAGTTAATACTAAAGTGGAAGTCATTTTTTGATCGTTTAAAAAGTACAAAATTAAATGTAATACTTCCAGAGATATCAAACTGAAGCAGGAAAATATTGATTCTTGTTTTCGTTTTATTTTTTAAATTGACCACCAAAATTGAATTCATCTGGGTCCAAATTGCAAATATGTTAATTTTTTCTCCATAATTTTTAAAGTGTTATATTTATGCAAAAAGACAGAATACCATTGGATAAAATTATTTTATTCTATCTGCTCCCAGTTTCTACATGATTGTACATGAATTCTATATGACTAATAATGATTATATAAGACATTTAAAAGATAATATCCTTAAGCTTGTGATTTTTAATGTGGGGGAGAAAGACCCCTATTTAAAGGCTAAAATGATGTTTGACTTTTTAAGTAGAAATGAATCTCCTATACTGATTCTCTCTTTAGATCCATTTGCAACATTTAAACTACTGTATTTCTTTCTGCATTGTTTCTAGTTTATTAACCTTGCAAGAACTCTTCAGGCACATATGGAAGATCTCGAAAGTAGGTGGAATTTCCCCTCCCCAGACTTGTTAAATTTACTTTTGCAAATTAAACTTACAGAGCAAAACCTAAGTATCTGCTCTTTCTATCAAATTAGAGCTCCATTTATAGGTTTAATAATACTGAAATAATTGATTTGGGAAAAATGGGTTGGACAACTATTAGTTTTTAAAAGCATATTTTTAAAAAATTATATTAATTTTGGATACCTAAGGATGTAATTTTAATCACCAGTATTTTTCTTTTAAGTAAAAATTTATTTTTGATCACCTTAATTTTAACACTTTTAATCAAAAAGAAGACCTGTTTACTAATCAAACCATACTTCTTAATCTGTTAATTTTTTGTGTATATAAAATTTTGCTTGTTATTCACCTTTGTTAGATCGTAAAAGGTTTTCCCTTAGTTTGTATATAGGTCTAGGAAAATAGAGATGAAAGAGTCCTAATTCTGAGTCCATAACAGAAGCCATGGATTTTTTTGTTTCGTTTAGTTTTTGCTCCTTGTTTGGGTCCTCACAGACCTTTAATAGGCAGCCAGCTCCGCCAGCAGCTCCAATCTCTTAAGATCACGTTCCAGCATTAGGACTTCTGCCTGGGCTCTTATGTGAAGGCACTTAATGCCCAAATCTTTATAGGCATCTGCACAGCTACCTCTTCTCAAAGTCCTACAGCCTCCAGGGGGCTTCATACCAGGTGGGCACAGATATTGGTGGCTCTGGAAGAGTTCCTGGGAATCCAAGATTACCTACCTATTGTACTTTTTTACCCAAAGCAACTGGCTCCCAATGGTCTTATTCCAGAACACTCTTTGAAGTGTTTTTAAATATTGATTACCTTCTGTACTCATCTTCAAAATACTTGGAGTGTTATCTGTAGTGTGCATAACATTTGTACCTTTAGAGATAGCTCAGTATCCTTTAAAGTAAGGTTTGAGAAGGACTTAGTCTTCATAAGAACCTTTTAATTCCTTGAACATTCTAAGACATGGGGCTTTGTCATTAAGCCTGTACTGTTTTTAAGTTTTAAAAGATTAGAGATACAACCAGATAATGCATTCTCACAATTTTAGTTAGTATGTGTGAAAATGGTATTATAAAAGGACTCATAAAGGTCTATAAAGTCGGAATTCATTTGTTATAAATCTTTTTTCCCTTTATGCTTGTAGTTCATATCCCTTATGTGGGCTAATACAAAGACCTCTTCCCTTTTTTTGTAAATTATAATGTATGCTTTGTCAGATGTGATGATAGTAATTTGTTTCAGTGTACATTTTCCCCAGATTGCTTGTCTTTTTACAACTAACATTCTTATTTAGAATTTGTTTCCTAAACTCCCAACATGTGAGAGAAATGGAAAAATATGGAGGAGAAATATACCCAAACTCAACTGAGAGTGAAAGATGAAATGGGTGCTACAAGTTAACTCCTAAGTACCAGGGTATTAATATATGCTGAAAATTGGTTCTGACTGAATTTTCTTCTCTTGTTGAGTTAAATCCAATAGAAAACATGAGAAATTCTCTAAAAAGCTATTTTATTTTTTAGTTTGATATTTCTCCATGATAGAGCATAAAACTTAACTGTGGGATTTACCCATTCATCAGCTAAGTATATGCTTGATATCATTTATTTAAAATGGATTTAAGATTTCTGCAAGATAAATAGACTGAAATATGGAGACTCAAGTTTCATCTATAATACGTGTAGCATAATTTTCTCGTTGATTCTCTTTGCTTGGTGCTCTTCAGTTGTCCAGTATTAATACAAGAAGAGTATACATTTAACCTTTCTGCCCTTGATAATATGGGAGATGCTAGATAGATGTTTATTTTAGTGAACTTCCATTTTCCTTCCCACACAGAGCAGTTAGAGAATACATAGCTTTATACTTATTTTGTCCTTTCTAAAGACATTCCAGGATATTTTATATTAAACTCTTGAGCCACTAATGACTCTAAAATAAATTGAGGTCAGAAATGTTGCAAAATTGATAAGTTTCTGACAGTGTGAAAGCATAGGAATAATCTCAACAAAGGGTTTTTCCTAAATCCAGTTATTTTAACTTAGGCTGTGTCTATATAAAGCTTTTTTGACTAACTAAATAGAACTTTTTCTTGGCATTGTATAGACATAGCTTTGATGTAAATTGCAAGAACACCCATAACCTATTATTCTATGTACATTTTTTTTCATTCTCATCGGATGCATCAAACATGCAGCGGTAATAAGCCAGATTCTACTCAGGTGTGTGAGAGGACTTACCTTTAAGTTCACTTTTTCTCTAGTGTATATATCATTAGCTACTATGAACACAAATTGATCTCAGAAACTTCTTAGAAGACATTCTTGAACACATTTTTAAACATTTCCATTTTTTAAAAAAAAACTAACAACAAAAAGATGTGGGGGTGGGGACGTTGTGGATGGGCATCACCCACAAACCACCCTAACCCTGTCATGATAACTTATCATTTTGACCAAACAGTATACTAAATTGGGATTTTTATTTCACAAGTCATTGCCGTTCTGGCTTCATATTTACGCTTCCATTCTCATCCCCCTTAAAATCATTCTTGATCATCCTGTTTTCTTTCAACAGCTTCAGAGGATGATTCCGAAGAAGATGGAGACCATAACAGAACATTTGATATTGCCTAACTTCATAAGAGACAAATGGATGATCTGTGAACAAGTGTTTATTAAAACTGGCAATTAAGTATGAACGAATTTTGTGGCGGAATGCCTATTGAATACGTTGACTATAAATATATATAAAATGAATATATGTATACACATGTATGCATGTATATATATATTCATTCTCAAATGTTGCTGAATTAACATTCTACTGCTGGACCTTTTAACATGGCCAGTGAATCTGACGTTTATAAACTGGTAATCAAAAGTATTTTTCTTTTAGGTGAATGGGAAAGTGTTACCCTTGTTTTAAATATCTAAGCAATGCCAACAACCCTTTTTTGTGTTCTGATTACTGTAGTCATATTTATGGGAAAAGTTTGTGTTATAGTCTCTTGCTAGTGAAAAAAGTGGGACAAAATTTGCTTTTGAAATAAAATGCCAAATGGCACCTAATTATTTTTTCTTTTTAAATGCCTTAAGTTGCAGTCTCATTTTCATAATCATTTGTTTCCAGTGTTTAAAAAAATAAAAAGGATGGAGAGAATGTAATAAGAGCATTATATTAGGTTTCCAAATTTAATTTGAATTCTAAATTCACTTAGCAATAAAATCTAATTTTAACAAAAGTATATAAGTATAAAATGTATAAATGATGGATGAAGTTTTATATTGATTTGCAAAATGCAGATTATATTTGATAGGCCATAGTATGTAGATATTCCTTTTAGGAATATTACAGCTATAAATTATATCATAATTGCCAGTCAAAAGCTATTTGGTTGAAAAAAAACATTATTGCAATCTCAAGTTTATGGAATGTTTTTAAAATCCCACGTCCAAAGTTTAAAACACTGGTTTTCAATGTATTTTTTAGTGTTGTCACTTCTTTATAGATAAATATGATATAAATAACCTGTTTGGATCTTGGTCGTTTTTAACTGTTCCTTGGTAATTCCGAGCATTTATTTTATGACTTAATATTTTTCACTACCTTGGAAAACACATGAACATTACCTATGCACCATGAATAGATCTATACTCTGGTCCTGAGTTGCATATACTTCCATAGCACTGTACATTTCCTCTGTCAACACCCTTAGGATACACTTAAAAATACCTTCAGGTGGTTTCAGGTTAAAAAAGTTTGATGTCATGGCAACAAACTACTTTTTCAGAACCTAAGTAGAAACCATGTAATTTCTCAAATGTAAATCAGCAGTTTGCCCACACTTAGTTTCTTGGTCTTAATGTAAAACCTTGGCTTGAAATAAAGTGCATACTGATTGATTTACTTTATAGTTTGAAATGTTTCCTTTTAAACTCGTGCTCAAAGAAGATTTCAAACCTTATAGCCAAGAATTTTATTAGAATTTCATACGAAAATCTAAATATTTCTAAAACATTTGCTCAACTTTTGCCTGTTATCTTTGCATTGCCTTACTTAAAGCAAAAATACAAAATTTAAGGATGCTAGTATTGATATCTATTCTATGGGCCCTTTAGGATGCTTTGAATTTGAACCATTTATGCTTTTAATAGAACTTAAATGTCTTCTGCGGTAATCCACAACATTTTTATGTAAAAAATTTTATTGGTAGAAAACATTCCATTGATGTGCATACCATTTATTTATAGTTTTGTTACATTTAATGCTAAGTGACAGAGATAGACAGACAAGGCTTGAGCTTTACAGTATTCTCATAGTTCTTAGTACCACTTAGTATTTTGGTATTGTATTACATCTGATAGCCTGTAAATGTGAACTAGAAGAGTCAGAGGGAATAAGAAAAGTCTTTCATTGGTTATCACTTTTAAACTTCAAACAAAAATAGAGAGACCATATATTACTCACTACAAAAACTGCAAATCCCTAAGAAAAGTGTTAAAAGTAATGTTATTCTCTCTAGATATCTGCCAAACATAAGAGTTATATCGTCATTAGCTAGAACCAAGATGTTGAAGAAAGCAGTTTATACATTCGAATGTAAACAAGCATGCTTATGTTATTACTAATACTAAAAATAAATATAGACTTGAATAATCCGGTTATCTGTTGACCACTAAATAGATACAAGGCCTGTTACAAATGTTTGGATATATAAAGAATATTAAATTTAACACTTCGTTACCAGGGGCCTTTAAGGACTTGTTTATTGAGAAATGAAATTAAGTCAGTTTAAAATGGCCATTTTGGAAGAGCTGTCGTTAGGTAGAAGTTACCAAAATGAACAGAAGAAAATTAGTTACATGGGAGTTGTGTTGAAGGGGAAATTGTAGAGCAGCACTGTCCAATAAAACTTTCTATGATGATGGAAATGTTCTATAATTTGTGTTGCCCTGTATGGTAGATACTAACTGCATGTAGTTTGAGCATTTGAATTAGGGCTATTGCAGTTGAAGAACTGGACTTTAAGTTATATTTAATTTTAACTTATTTACATAGTCACATGTGGCTAGTAGCTACAATATTGAACATTGTAGAGATTTCTGACAATTAGAGAAAGTTTTAACAAGGAGATAAGATTAGTCTTAGTTCCTAAAGGACTGGTAGAATTTGAGTAGGAAAAGCAGGAAGGAATTCCAGTCTAATGGTCACTATTAGCATTATTAATAGCCTATCAATAATAAAGTAGACATGTCAGTCACTACATAAAATCTCAGAAATTTAAAACTCTGAAAGAGCATACAGCTATTGTAACATTTGCTCTTTAAATACCACATTAGCCACACTGTAGAGTCTTCTGTCATCACTTTGTAGTTATTCCTGTCTCGTTAACAATAGTGCTGTGATGAGGATGTTTTTGATTCATGGTGGCCAATGGAAATAGATGGCACAAGCTAGGACTTTGTTGCCATTGCTGAAGCTTGAGAGAGAGAATATTTCCCCATAAGTAAATTATTCCCCATAAGATAATTGATGGGATGTGGGTTAGGGACAGAGATTACTTTCCTTGAGCTTTCAAGTTTCTAAGTATAGTAAATACAATTTTATGTGAAGTCTATACATTATCTTTTCTCATATTGTTTTTAAGCTGTAAAGGATGCTAAAGAAAACCGCTCTTGTTTCACCTTTCTTCCATTTTCATTTTTTAACCCCAAAATGATTATTTTCACCTTTGTCTTAAAATGTACAATGCATGTCCTGAAAAGTTTGAGCATCATCACTATAATAGTACATAGTGTTTTTCTGCAGTTTTTGCTTACACAGTTTTCACGTCATTGAGTAACAAAGTTCATCAGTGCTTGGGGAGCATGGGTTCCCTTTATAGGAACAGGTATGGTGGTAGGAGAAAAATTCTTAAAGGGGCACTGTGATACAAATGTTTGTTCCCTTATTGCCAGCCTTCTCCACACCTTCCTTGTATAGCTGTAAATTTTTTTGTTTCAAAAATTTTATAAAATCTTACTAAAATTCTAACCATTTGTGATCCGTACTAAATACTGTTTGTAATCCAGAATGGTGTTCTAAAAATAATGAAATTGTAAAATTATGTGGGATATGGAGTGTTAATATCTGTAATATTTTCTACATCTAAATCATAAAGGAAGGTGAAAATATTAGAGGTAATATTAAATATTACCTCTAACTTAACTAATATTAAAAATGCTATTGCTCTGCCAGAGTAACCACTTTGATTGCTACCTAAACGTATAGAATCTGTTTAAAAGCCAGGATTATTCCCCACATTTTATTAATAAAGGAGCAAGACCTAGAAATTGCTGAAGACCTAGTAGTGCTTGCTAAAACTATAGTGGTAGGTAGAATCTTTTCTTTTTTAACTCAACTATAAACCAAGGTGGTTCAACTAAGTGGGAGGGAAGATAGAGCAGGTAAGACAAGTAGACAGGGTTTTTATTTTTATCTGTTTCACTATTGACCTTTAAGCTTTCCTGCATTCAAGTGAAAGTTGCGTTTGGAGAGGTGGTTAAAACCATTCATTTATATCTAAGATCATTCCTTTTTTTAATACTTTGTTTTTATAATAATCCTAAAGATTAGTTTTTGTCACAGTGATTACATGAGAATAATGTTACTAGAATAATGAAATATGTCATATAAATTATAATTTTCATTAAGTTTTATGTTAAAATCTTGCACAAGAATCATTGTCAAGGTATTTGATGTCTTAATCTGAGATTTCCAAAATTTTAGTCAAACTGAACAGCATATTCATTTTCTTCTGCAACTACCAAAACACAGTCATCGTTATAAGGAGATTGGGTTGCAGTTGAAAAGACTGTGGTGAAACCAGCATCCAAATTTCTTTTGTACAGGAACCAAATGATTGCTCCCAAAACTGTCAAAATTACTGTGCTAGCAATCACCAAAGCTGATATTAAAATGTGGTTATCTGAAAAGGAAAAGACAAAATAGGGGAAATCAGGGTACGCAAGTTGCTGGTATTGCATTTAGGGAGCACAAATATAGTTTCATCACATAAACATTCCCTGTTTTGAGAATTTCCCACACTCATGGGAAAAAAAGAATTATACATTTATTACTATCAAGACTTATATTTCCTAGCTTAAACAATTGCCATTCTTCAAAATTTCAAGTAAATCTTGCAATTCTCTAAGACCCTAAAATGGAAATTGTACCCACACCCAGGGTACACCACAGTCCTATTTGCCTGCCTTGGTTTTTCCTTCCTGACCTAAGACTTCAAATTCAGACCCACTGCTCTCTTCAAGCATAGTGGTCTTTAGATGTTCGTCACATTAATGAGGCTTAATAGTTCATCTGGCTTTGGGGATTTAAGATTTGTTTTGCTGAAAAAACACCAAGCGTGGCAGTAAATTAAGTATCTCCCTCTTTGCTTTTTAAATTTATTCAAATAACCAGATATTTGTGTATTCCTGAAGTAATTCTGTAGAACCTCCAGTTCTTGGCTATTTGCAACTCTCTTAATCATTCTGTAAGAATTTAGTTTAATAAATCAAGGGAAATTACTTGTTTTTGAAGTTCAGAGGAAGAAAATGCTTTGCGAAAGGTATTTGTATTATATTTAGTAATAAAAGACCCAAAAGTATATGGAAAAAAAAATCCTCAAATTATTTTCTCTTTACAGATTGTTTTTTGTTTTTTTGCTGAGGAATATTTGCCCAGAGCTAATGTCTGTTGCCAGTCTTTGCCCCCCCCCCCCCCCCCCCCCCCCCCCCTGCTTGAGGAAGATTACCCCTGAGCTAACATCTGTGCCAATCTTCCTCTATTTTGGATGTGGGTTCCCACTGCAGCATGGCTGACTAGTGGTGTGGTTCTGCACCTGGGATCTGAACCTGCGGACCCAGGCCACCAAAGCAGAGCACGCCAAACTTAACCACTAGGCCACAGGGCCGGCCCATTACAGATGTATCTTTGCATTACGATTATTTGAATATACCCTAGTACTCACTTCAGCTGATGCTTGTTAAAGTGAGACCTGGAAAATTTAACACTTAGCACGAAAAATCTCGCCAGAAGTTATTTGTTAAGGTGAGGGTGAGCCCTTGATACTTTTAAAGTATTGATAAGGCTTCTTTACAAACACACAGTTGGGAAAAGTGAGGAAATGGCCACAGCTGAATTCTCTTCTTTTTATTCCTAAAATAGATAAGAGTTCATAGTGGTCACAATTTGTTAAGCTGTGGGGGTGTGTTACTAGAAACATTTAAATGAAAAGCCAAATGTTCAGCCAAGAATTCTGTAAACTGAGTTCAAATGGGGTTCTTTTATATAGTTAATTGTTTTATTAAACTTAACACAGCCTATTTGCAGTATAGTGCCGTAACTTTACCAATGTGAACATACTAATTTTATTTCAGTCTATTAATGAATGTACAATAATACAATCATAATCAGTGGTATCTACTTTAGTGATTTACATGATTGTAGGTCAATAAAGGAAAAAGAAGAAAAGTAAATTTTAGTCTGAAAGAGCGTGGTAATTGAGACATTGATTTATAGACATAATCACACACCTTAACAGTAAATGAAAAGACCTCTCGTATCCCAAGAACTAAACAGCATCCAGCATTGGTGGGGCAGTCAGTATACATGCTCCTTGTGTTTTTACATTCTGCAAATGACCTGTGGCCAGGCTGCCTCCGGGGCCTTTAGTTGACTAGCTGCATACTACTGAAATCTGGAAGAAAGCCAGTCTTGAGGCAATTAATGAGTCGTATGTTAAAACAATATGTAAAGTTTTATATGTGGAGGAAAGGATAGTTCTACATTAGGAAATCTATTATCTACTCATTAACTGAAAGAAAAACCCACTGCTCAGTTTACTGAGTAAATAATTGCTATTATGTAATACCTAGTCCTAATTTAAAAAAACAGCAGAAAACTCGTGGCTAGGAAGCTCAAAAATCTTCCTCATCCTAATAAAAGGAAGTTGGGGAAACCTATAGCAAACACATTGAAACATAAGCTTTCACTCCCCTAGCATTTCTCAGATCTCTACAATGTGTCTTAACCAAAGGTCACCAATGATCTCTGTATAAGTAAATGCAGAAACAGACACGTTTCAACTTTATCTCCCACAGCTGGACCATTAGCCACCCAGCCTTGAGACATTCTCCTCACCTGGTTTCCCTGACATTCCTCTTTTCCCTTTTAATTTTTAGACTGCTCCTAATCATCTTCGTGAATTCAAATGGTTGATCTAAACCATTTGAGTCTTTTATGTAAATCTATTTACAGATAATTATCTATGTACAGCTGATGCCTCTCCCCACTTTATTCCCAAGTCCACTTTTCTTTGAATTCCCTTAAATGATGACACCAATAGCCACTGTTGAGTCATCCAATCTAGGAATTACCTAGACTTTCCCTTCATTAATCATCAGGACTACACATTCTGTCTTTATAACCTTTTTCCTGTCTGACAGTTCCTCTTCCTATCACCTTTGTACCCTAGTTATAACACTGATCGTCTGAGGCCCAAACTACATAATCCACCTTTAAAAAACAATATAAAACTTTTTGTTGGACTGTTAGCATTATAGATTAATTTGTTTGAGTGCCTACTGTATACATATAACCCCCCTGTTTCAGCCCTTTCTTATATAAGAAACAGGCACAAGTTTAAATGACTTGCCCAAGTCCTTTTGTTAAGTGGCCTAAGAAAAATTCAGACCGTTCACTTCAGTTTATGCTGATCCATCCTCTTGGATAACCTTTCCTCTTTCCTGCCTAGTATCTACTTGTCCTTTGAGATTTAACTCATGCATTACTTCCAGTAAGCCTTTGCTGAACCCAGTTTGGGCTAACTTCCCCTTTTCTGTATGCTCACTACACCATGCACATCCTAGTACAGCCACTTTAATTCTCTTGACAGCATTCTTCCCAAGGGGGTCTTCCAGCCTACACTTGTATGAAACGGAAATCCTTGTTTGCTGAGATTGCCCCTCCATTTAACTGTTTGTCTCCTGGTTGCTTCAACTCTGGTCCTCTTGTTACTCCTTAAGGTCATAGACTAAATCTAATCTCTTTCTGTATGACAAGCTTTCAGACATCCTTTCACTTCCTTTAGGTCTTCATTCTGCTCAAATATGATCTTACCACTGAGGCCTTTTCTGGCCACCCTACTTAAACAAAAACACCACCTGCCTTTCTGCACATACATTCACCTTGCCTTTTCTTCATAGTCCATGTCAGTCTGACATACTGTGTATTCGCATGTATTTATTCTTCCCATTGAGATGTAAGCTGGAAAGCAGAGGCTTTTTCTGTTGTTCATGCTGTCTTCAATGTCTAATATCAAGAAAGCCTGGCATATAGTAGTTATACATATTTATGAGCTACATAGATTTTTTTAAATGAATTCAAAGATAAGTGGAGTCTAAAGACCAAATGTTGCCCAATCTTTTAGCTACTCCTGCCATGGTTTTGAGACCCATCATAGACCTGCCTGCTCTTTTCTAAACATGTTTCAATTTGCATATATCCTTTTACTTTTCCCAAAGTATACATGTGCTTAGCTAAAAATTCATAGTCCTACAAGGTATGTAATGAAAAATACTGTGCTCCTCCTGCCCAACTACTCACCCTTAACTTCCATTCCTTGAAGTTGACCACTGCTACTTCTGTTATTTGCCTCCATGCTTCTAAATACCATGCTTACACTGCTTTTCTTGATTAAAAACAAAAAAAATTTAATTATGGGGGCTAGCCTTGTGGCCAAGTGATTAAGTTCACATGCTCCGCTTTGGCAGCCCACGATTTTGCCAGTTCAGATCCTGGGCACCGACGTGGCACCACTCATCAGGCCATGCTGAGGCAGCATCCCACATAGCACAACCAGAAGGACCTACAACTAAAATATACAACTATGTACTAGGGAGGAGAAGAAGAAAAAAGATTGGCAACAGATGTTAGCTCAGCTGTCAATCTTCTTTTAAAAAGTTTTAATTGTGGTAAAATACACATAAAATTTACCATCTTAACCATTGTTAGATTTACAGTTCAGTAGCATTAAGTACATTCAACATGTTACCACCATTCCTCCATAGAACTGTTATCTTGCAAACCTGAAATTCTGTATGTATTAAACAGTAACTCCCCATTCTTCCCTTTCCCAACACTGGCAACCATCATTCTACCTCTATGAGGTTGACTCCTCCAGGTACCTCAAATAATTGGAATTATACTGTATTTGTCCTTTTGTGACTGGCTTATTTCACTTAGCTTGATATCCTCCAGGTTCATGCATATTGTAGCATGTATTAGAACTACCTTCCTTTGTGAGACTGAATAATATTCCATAGTATGTATATACCACATTTTGTTTCTCTGTTCATCTGTAAATGGTCACTTGAGTTGGTTCCACCTTTTGGCTATTGCAAATGCTGCTGCTGTGAACATGGCTGTACGGATATTTCTTTGATCCCTCTTCACCTTTCTGGATATATACTTAGAAGTGGAATTGCTGGATCATATAGTAATCATATTTTTAATTTTTTGAGGAGCTACCATACTGTTTTCCACAGCAGGTGCACCATTGTAAATTTCCAACAGTAGTGCACAAGGGTTCCATTTTCTCTACATTCTTGTCAACACTTGTTATTTTCTGTTTTATTGATAGTCAACTTAATGGGTGTGAGGTGGTACTTTCCTTGATTTTGTAAGATATTTTCCTCCTAGAGAAGAGTGAGAATTTAACTTTCCTATATACACGTGCACTCTTAAACACTCCTTTCCTCCTCTTCCATCATAGTTGTATCACCGCAAGCCCCACACTGACAAAATATTCATAATACTCATACCTGACAAAGGAGTCATATCCAGAATTTTTAAAAACAGAAAAACTGCGAATCATTAAGAAAGGCAACCTAATAAAAAATAAGGGCAAAAAACTTGAACAGGCGTTTCACAAAAGAAGATATCCAAATAAGTAATAAACGTGCAGAGGTGCTCAGCATCATTATTCATCAAGGAAATTAAAATTCCAGTGAGATCACTACACATCCAAGTGGCTAAAATTAAATAGATTGACAATACCATCATCAGATGGATGTAGAGCAAATGGAACTCACCTCGCATACACTGCCAGAAGGAATGTAACATGGTTCAACCTCTTTAAAAAATTATTTGTTGGTTTCTAATAAAGCTAAACATATTAACTCCCCTCTGACCATGCAAGTCCACTTTTTCGAGTATACTCAAGGAAAATGAGAACATAGGTCCAAAAAAAGACGTATAATGTTCAAAGGCAGCTCTATCATATTAGTGCTAAACTAGAAATGATCCAAATATCCATAAACAAGAGAATGGACAAATTGTGGGATATTTATAAAATACTATGCACCAACAGAAAAAGCACCGTATTATATGCATAACATGGATGAAACTTAAAAGAAATTCCTGTGTGAAGGAAGCCAGTAGAGTTAAATTTATGTGAAGTTCAAGAACAAGAAACTAACCTATGGTGAAAGAAATCATGGTAGTGGCTAGCTATGGAGTAGATGGTGGTAGGGTGGACATTTATTGGGAAGGAGCATGAGGGAACTTTGGTGTGATGGATGTTCTATATCTTGATTTAAGTGGTAGTTAACACAGGTGTATACGTAAGCAACCATTAAGCTGTACGTTTAAAGATTGTGCATTTTACCCTGTGTCTATTATACCTCAGAAATATGGAGATTAAAAAATACTATCCAACTGGCAAGAATTCAGAAGTTTCAAAACAGGCACTCGCACATTGCGTCTGGGAATGCAAAATGGTGTAACTCCTCTGAAACACTATCAATATTGATCAAAGTTATATATTCATTTTCAATCCAGCAATTACATTTCAAGAAATCTTATCTACAGACAAACCGGTATTTTTGCAAGGTGATTCATGCAGCATTGTGTATAATAGCAAAGTATTTTTGCAAGGTGATTCATGCAGCATTGTGTATAATAGCAAACGTTTGGAAACAACCCAGTGGGGGTCTGGAGCTAGTTTAATAACTATGTATATCCATACAATGGAAGGGCATGCGGTTGTAAAAAAACAAAAAGCAGTCTATAGGTAATGATATGGAGTGCTATCTAGAGTATATTAGTGAATAAAAGGGTCACAATAAGTCATATATCTCAATTTGCTTATATTGGCAAAAGAAACACTAGACAGTTAAAGAAGAAACTGAAATGATGGCCAGTAAGGGTAAAGGTTTCAGAATGGGGGTATGAGGGCAGTAAGAGACAGACTTTTCAGTGTTTGCCTTGCATAGTTTTGCTTTTAGAACAATGTAAATATATTACCTGTTCCTTTCCAAAAAAAATGCATTTAGGAAGCCCTTAAGACAGAAGCTTTGTGAATTGTAATTACAACTATGAGATGAAATTTCTTTTAACAAAAGATGGAGTCATTTCCCACAAAAACATAATGTAATTCAATGGGAACATATAATTTGGTCTTTAAAAAAATGTTCATTTCATACATGGAATTAGAATATTTAAAATGTCAGATCTTATTACTAAGCTAAGAGACCTTTCTACATTCTTATAAAGGTTGTTCTATTTAACATTATGTTATATAGTTAATAATTTAAAAGGGGTCTTTAGTAGTATTTTAACATGCTAGAATCAATATATTTTTACTTGTTGAAAAAGTTTTAACAAAAGATCATTACTTACCTGATAAATATTTCTTCTCATATGGGACTAAAATACAAAAGAAGATCAAAATTTAAATTTAAATTTGTTGTATTCTAAGATTGCCTTTAAACACTTTCAAAGAAGTTAAAAAAAGAATTCAACAGCTTAATATCCATATTTCTATTGTTTGGCCAATTGTCTATTTTAAAGTTAGTTTTTAAAAAAAGATGTAGGGTTCTAATAAAATGCATTAACTTGGTTCGTGGAAAAAGAATAATGGACATCAAGAAAAAGAATGATGAGGTGAGGGAAATAAGAGGATTTTGGTTGGAGAGTCTGTAGAAAACAAACATGATAAAATTAAGGTATACAACTGTGACCCTACCTTATTAGTATGGATTTGCTCACTATTTCTGATGTTTCGAAGTTGTAGTTTAATTTAAAATTTGGTTTATATAACGGTGCCCTGAGGCACCATATATGAAAAGAACCAATTTTTAAAAAACCCAATAAATATTGGCAGTTGGATGCTACTACCATAAAACTATGACAAATTTTATATAATCACTATAAAAATGATCGTAGTCAAGAACCCTGGTGTGGCAAGTAAAAAATATATGTAATTCCAGATGTAAAGTAAATAAATAATCAGAAGCAGATGTAAGTTTTGGTTTACCATTGTAGTAGAAGGGGGAAATACTAAGGATGCAAAGTGGGGAAATGGCTGTCTGTGTCATGTTTCAAGCAATCCCAAATCATATTTTGAAATTTTAAGTGTCTTTAATGAGAAAACAATTCTCTCTAAAACTTAGAAGAACAAACTTTTTGTTTAACATCATCAAAATGTTGTAGGACAGGATAATTTTGTTCATTAGAAAGCATTCTCATGGGTCAGAAGAATAAATTATAGGCTATGATGCAATTTTTCTTTGTTTGCCTAAACAAAGGATTTTAGTTCTTGTAGAGAATCATATTCTTTGTAAACTAACACTAGAATTCTGGAATCATTAGAATTCAGGAATTAGATGTGATTATTTCACCATTTCCACTGTTTAATCAAATCACATGCAGAGAGGCTATGATAATTCCTTTGAGCAACATAGAAGAAATCCTTAACCTCTTGCAAGCTCTAAGAATAAGTAAATAAAATAAAAGTATGCCTCGGTCACATGATCTGACCCTACCTCTGAAATGTGAGAAAATTACATATTTGACTTCCAAGACTTTCTAATATATTCTGAAGTCTTACTCCCTCTTTACTGAGGCACACTTATCTCAAAGAAAATTACTTTAACAGCGGCCCTACTTTCACCACCCATCTTAGAATGGAAAAAGACCTTCAATTATACTTACTAGCTGCTTTACAAAGGGTTCCCTCCACAGAAGAAACTTCACAGTTTCCTTTTTTCCATTCACCTGTCTTGGTGTGCAAAAAGGCACAGGTGTCAACCAGGTCCTCACCATCTTCTTGGTCTGTCCACTTATCAAATGTCATATTTGACTTATCAAACCACTTGAAACTCGAATCTGTCAGTTAAGGAATATTTTCAACATTATGACAGTATAAAAAGGTGTTAAAAGAAATCAAAGAAAAGGGTCTAGGATTAAAGGTAGAAAGTTACTAAGGTATGTCTGGTCTAAACTTTTGGTTGTAGAATTTAAATTGGAGGAATATATCCTGTCTACAGGCAAGTCAAAGGTATTGTTTCAAGAAAGTTCTGAAGGTGATCCCATTTTTGTAAAGAAAAAAAGTATATATTATAACATTTTAATGGAGAAATATCCAAGAAAATAGTTAAAATATTAAGAGTAATCTTAGTAATTTCATTTCATTTTGAAAATAATTATATCTGTACTTTCTATTTTCTAAAGTGACAGTAAATACATTTACATATTATAACCTTGAGAGTTCAGTCTATCCTATTGTTGGCATTAATACTAATTTTTATGACTATCGTATTACAAAAATACTGAGCCTAGAACCACATTTAATCCAGACAGAATCAAATTTGACTCTCATGTGAGAGACACATTGAGCTGCTCAGGCAAAAGCTGTGGTACAAGTCATCGATCCATACTGAAAATTACCTGGAGACCACAGGAAACATCAACTTGAAGGAGAGAATTGAGGAATCTAAAAGAAAGTCATCAGTTTTATTAACATTAAGGGGAAAAAAAGTGAGATTCCACAAGGTAAGTATCACTTACCATCTGTGTCAAAAAACATGCCTAGTAGGATATCATCTGGGCCTTTCCATTGCTTTTTCAAAGTATCCAGTATAAAAGCATTTTCTTCTTCATTATGTATGCTTATCATGTCTGCTCCTGAAATTATTTTAGGGAGAACAAAAAGCATGTTCCAAAAATTAATGAAAATCTCGTGAAATATATAAAAGTTATTATAATACATACAGTATATTACACTTACATCTTTTTAAATTTAACTTGAGAATGTACCTTTCTGAAGAGACAATATAGTCACTCATGAGCAAAGTAAAATGATAATGTGATAAATTGAACAGAATCATTTTATACTCATTCATTCACCTAGAGTTGATAATCTCAATTATAAACAGCAGGGAAATAAAACATCCTAGGAAGGTTACGCAGTAAAACACACTTTCTGCATCTCTCAATGTTTTTCCATTTTTCCCACTCCCCTCCTCTAGCTACCATGGCTGCTCCTGCCGTCAGTTCACAGGTGTAGGGAGGAATACCTCTGAGCACACCCAGGAGAGCTGAAAAGTATGAGAGCAACTTGCCAGAGTAGTCTCAAGACCTAGTGATGCTCAAGCAACAAGCCATCTCTGACCTTTAACTCAGACTCATTAACTGGCCTTCATGTACCTGCTGCCCGAAGCCTGTGCCTTCCCATATTTTCTTTCTTCTGGTCATCCTTAGAAAAGTCCTGGTTAGGGAAACTGACTGATAAAGGAGGTCCTCGTTCTCATTGGATGGTTGACTTTTCCTGGGACTCTTTCACCTGGTTCAAGAGTAAGGAGCAGCAGCCACATAGATTTTATGCCTCACATACGTTAACTTTTTTTTTTAATCACAATCCATAAGCTACATAGCATCCTGTAAATATTAGCAGTAACTTCACTTTTCCAAGAGAGATTTAACCTTGTTTCTTCATCCAAAGATTCTCTTTCAAATTAAAAAGTCACTCCACTGTCTTAATTGGACAATACTTAGAAAACGCTAGTAGAATTCGTTTCTTCAGGATATTACATGTTTTTGCAAGTGAAAACAAGTGAACGAATGATGACATCAAAGCTTATATTCATAGCAACCAGAAATCTGGTGGGGAGGGGACATCTAATCCCAGGGGAACAAAAAGGGTATCAAGGATATCCTTTTGGCTGTACTCAGCTAAATGAGGAATATAACGTCCAAATGTTCCTAAGAAACATGACTTTCAACCTCAGTAATTTTAGAAATAACAATCTTTTCCTATTATTCTCCAAGGAGAAGTTGTTGATCCTACACATATTTTAAAGTTATCTTGGAGGCTTTGTGTACCACAACTAATTCAAATATATGGAGAGATGAGGAAGAAGCCTTTCCTACTATTAAATTATGTTCTTCCAAAGTCATTCTGACTTAACAAGGCTCCTGAAGACTTCAGAATATTGTCTTAGATCAGTGGTTCTCCAATTTTAGTGTGCATCAGAATAGCCTGATGGGCTTGTTACATCAGAAGTGCTGGGCCCCCCACCCAGAGTTTCTGATTCAGTAGGAGTGAGATGAGGCCTGAGAATTTACATTCCTAATAAGTTCCCGGATGATGCTGATGCTGCTGATCCAGGGACCACACTTTGAGAATTACAGGAGGCTTAAATAATAGGTGAATGTATTATGACATCACGCTAAAATTGATAATTTTTTGTAATAAGTTAACAGTTAAATGGAGAAGAGAAAGAGCTCCTATTATGTCCTGATATGGTAAGAAAAATTTGCATTAGGTGAGTACTTTTACGTCTTTTAGAAGAGGCTTTAAAAAAAACAATCAATGTAACTACAGGAGGAAAGCAAACTACTATAGGGCCAAAAATCTCTCCAAAAATATACCATATTGTTAAGAAAATCACAAAGTGGGCAGACTAAAGCTCTATTGTAAATTAAAAAATAAAAAGGCAAACACCTTAATAGAAGAAAAAAATTGGTCTCAGACTGTTAAAAAGGCAATTCACCCTCACAAAAGGAAATACAACACAAGAAATGTGTGAAAAATGCAATCTCACTGGTAAAGAAATGAAAATTAAAACAAGACTTTAAGACTTGCAAATTAAACAGTGTTGGCCTTGTGTATAGAAAAATAGGAACTCATAAATGGCTGATTGGAGTAAAAATTAGTACAAGCTTTTTGGAGACAATTTGGCAAGATGTATCAATAGCCCTAAAAGGAAGTACATATTCTTTGTCCCAACAATCCTTAATTTATGCTAAGGCAATCATTGGCTCTGTGCTCAAATAGGCACAATCATTAATGCTCATCCCATGTTGTTTATGACACTGAAAGATTGGAAATAATTTAATAACCAATATTAGAGGATTAACTAAATCAATTATTACATCTATATAGTGGAATAATGTACAGTTATTAGAAAATATGCATTCTATATATACTGCCATGGAAAGACATTTTTAAAGGAAAATGCAGATGACATAACAGTTTGCCTCATATGATCCATATATATATATATATGCAAACATTTATTAAAATATATTTGCCTGGGAGGGGTCTAGAAGGATGCTTACCAAGATGTTAATAGTCATTACATTTCCTTAGGGTGGTACAATTTAGGGTGGCTTTGTTTTATTTTTAAAATATTCATTTATGTGTTTTTCTAAGTTTTCTATAGTGATTTGTGCATTATTGTGTAATTAAGAAAAAATTTTTAAAAGAAAAGAAAAAATAAGGCTGGTCTTTAAAATACTTAACAATATTTTTAATTAATCCAATGTCAGGATTCAGCAAGCTTCTCTCTCTGAGTCATATCTCCATGTTTAAAAGTCTATGATGGTTTTCTTATCAGTTCTAGCTGCTATCACCTCCTGTCTGTTAAATGTCATAGAGACTTTTAATCTGTTTTACCCTAGTGTACTTACTTGTACTTACTTGTGAAATGTGACCAAAATACTACTCTAGAAAAATCCTCAAGGGAAATATTTAACTAGGTTATAGTTTAGGTTTAAGTGTTCAGAGATGAGTTTTTCATTCTTTTCTCTGACCTTGTGGCAGCCAATGGAACTTTAATGATTTTTTACATTGTAATCTAATTAAATACTGTATAAACTTAAATTACTATGTCAGGCAAATAAGACATACTTTCATTTTCTTTAACAAATGACAGAATAAGTCCCTGAAGAAGGCATGTGCTTAAGCAAATTTTTTTTACAATGCATTATCAGTGACAGTACCTGCTGAGATGTAATTTGGGTCTTTAATTCTTTTTATGACTAGTGACACAGCTCATAGGTCACAAAAGGAAAGATTAAAAATATTTTTTCTACTATAACGATAATATATAAATTAAAGGTAAATATTGCAATACAAGAAGAATTTTAGCCTCTCACAAGTATTTTCCTAAATGAATAATAGTACCAAAAATAAGGAGAGGTAAATCAATTAAATTAGCAGCAAGCACTGGGAATATTTCTATATACAGCTCTTTGCAGCCCAAAAGGTAACAAGTCACTTATTTTCTATGGTTTACGGTAAGATTTTGTTAGCTGTGAAGATGTTATAAATCCAAATATAAATATTCTAGTATTCCTTATGCTTTTTCTTCTTCAGACATAGGAAACACTGAATTCATGTCCACATACTGCTCCAAATCAAAACACTACCCTAGCTAAAAATAAGTACAATATTATTAATTAATTTTAGCTAATGTTCCGACTCATCAATGAAATGGGTATTTCCAGACTGGAAGCAAATGCAGAGGATTATCAGAAATGTATGAGAAATTTTTAAAAATCAAGTCAATAAGACAAACTGAATTTATAAAATTTTTACTGGGAAAAAAGACATTTTTTCTTTAGACATAGGAAAAATTTTATAAGCAAATTTGTGTACAACAAATTAAAATCCTTAAATGGCTACCCTGCTTGAACAAGTGGAATCAACGGACTTTGAAACAAGCAATCAAAAATCAGACCACAAAGTTTCTTGGTGTTTTCAATTTTATTTTGCTTGTTCACTAAAGAAAAATAGCAAATACAACTACAGTTAAATTGTAGAGGAAGTCAGTCAACAAGTATTTATTACACCTCTTTATAGTAAGGAGTTGCTTAACTGCTTAAGATAAGTAGTAAAGCTGGACAATGAACTTTGACCTTGTGATTCATACAAGCAAACAGAGAATAGGAACATGTCTTTTCTTGGCTCTCAACCTCCAATATAATTTCTGTTATTGAAATCTGTATTTATTTCTAAGTATACCTAATATAAATGGCTTTAAAAAAATAGAAAATAGTTGTAGGGGGAACTCCATTTAAAGAATCTTGTAAGACCAGCAAAAGTCCTATTATTCAATTTCCTTGCAATGAAACCATATTGGCATGTTGGAAATTTTGTCTTGTTTTCAGAGCCAATATTCAACACCATTTCGCAGGTATGAGTTTTTCAAAGGGAAACAATAAATATCTATGGAGTACTACATGGCACTTAATAGGATTAAAAACTTCTATGCCTACATTTATTACTTCTATAATAAGTGAACATGATTTTAATTAAAGTATCCCTAATACAATTTGATATTCTTCCAAAATGTTATATTGGTGGATTATCAGAAATCGTGGTTTTTTAGATAAAAGGAGTTCTAACTGCTGGAGTTATAAATATGCCTAAGACAAAATTTAATGAAATGATCAAGAGATTTTTAGAAGTCACACAGTAATAAAAAGCACCTTTAAAGAATCAAGGACTCTCACCTCGCCATCATAGATATTCCAGTTGAAAAAGATCCTAGCTCACATCATAGTTTTAGTTTGTGCTGACAAGTATCACAAAACTTAGAGGTTTAACAATAAGGATGTGCTTTGGGCCAAACAGCCAAACTATAAAGAGCACCCAAGCACACCTTTTTAGAAATGACATTTTAAAATATTTCACAATGTGAAGTTATATTTCCCAGAGAAATTAAGCATATCCTCTAGCAAATAGCCTTTTTCTCATTTTTCTTTAACGTACCCTGCTTTTTACCACAGCCTCACTTCACGGTTCCTTGTAATCTGACATCTGCCCACACCGCATGCCTGAAACAGCACTTTCAGAGCAGAATGACAGAGTGATTACAAACTCTGGTCCTAAAATCAGACAGACTCTGGTTTGAATCCTGGCGCTGCCTGTGTGACCTTGAACAAATAACTGAACTTAATTTCTTCTCTTGATAAAAGGAAGCTAATAATAAATTACCTGATACGTTTGTTATGATAATTAAAGCCAGGTAAAGTGATGTGTGTAAGCACAGGGCCTGGTACAGAGGACGCACATTAAATAGACACTGCTGTTGCTAAGGTTCTGTTGCTCTGCTTTGTCTGTCTTCCAACTCAAGAGTTAAATGTATGCCCAATTCCACTGCCTGTGGCTTGTGTTTTGTAGAATAAAAGTTGTCCATTTATTATAAGGACTCAGGTAAAGATATGACAAAACCATTTTTTAAGAAATTAGTGAACACTTTTTACTGATTTGTGAAAAAGCAAAAAAGAATAAGCTCCTTACCATGGTCAGTACACTGATTTCTAACATCCTCTATGCTTTCTACTTTGATGGCTTCTTGAAGAAAAATGTAACAACTGTCTTGGAACTGAACCCAGGTAGATGAAGGACAGTCTATATGGAAAAAGAGAAACATTGTTAGATAACTTGAGAATAAGAATTTCATGAATTCCTAAAGACAAGGGTACTAGATAGTAGATTTTCACAGAAAAAAATGAAAGGCAATTTCTCTTGTTAATTTAGCAGGAAGGCTCTCTTCGTTAAAATAAGAAATCAGCTAGTGTGATAGGAATTTATTTTTCTCCATTGTATAGGTGGGAAAAGAGAAACGTGCCAGTGATTCTCTTCTGATATGACAGAGCAAAGCTACAAGTATCTAGGTTGTCTCAGAATTCAGACATGTAAGTTACAACATTATTACCAAGGAAACAAACTGTCAAGGAATACAACCAATCACAATTACAAGCTCACTTTGAAGGTTATCTTTGCAGTAGACAGTAACAATTTCAAAAGTCTTAAGAGTTTTACAAGATCTTTTTGTTGAAATTACATTCCAAGAACAGAGAAGAAAACAAGTTGCTAGATTATGAATATTCAGACAAGTTTTCCTATTGCACAGGAAAATAGATTGATGTTCTTATGAATGTTCTTAATTTAACACTTCATCAAAGCAGATTCTTTGAACAAGTTCTATGAAACAGAACCATCTCTCTTCTATGGCTGTAGGGTAGAGGGGCATCTCCTTGATCTCTGTGTCTCCTTTTGTTGTTGTTCATTATAAAGGTGTATGTTTCTAAGCCTCAGCTCTGGAATTTCATTAGTTAGCATTAGAAGCAAAAGTAGACCTGTAAGAGCTTGATTTCACTGGCCAGAATGGAAAAAGGATTCTAGGATTTTACTGAATTCCAGTGATTAAGGGAGCATAAGGCATTAATCTTCCGTGTTCTCTTAGATCTGTATAGGGAAAATCCCTAGGATTTCACCTAGTTTTATTTTCAAGTTCTGTATGTATTAGAATTTTAATATAAACAAGTAGAAAAAGGCCCTACTACAAACATCAGAACTTAACAATCAGCTGTGTTAGTCTAAATTCAACAACCTTGATTTTACTGTAAAAAACTCATATTATGGCAGAGACCATTAGCTGTCCCCAGTACTTGACCTCAGCTTCTCATATAGACCTCAGCTTCTTATATAGCACAGCGTGTGTGGCCACCAAGCTAGATTGTTGCCCAGTCTTCTGGTAATTTCTGGATAATGAGGTGTGAACAAAAGTGAAATGTGCAAAATGTGCCTTTTAAAGGAAGGAGTATGCTCCCTGGACCATATTTCCTTTTTCCCCCTGGCTAAAATGTAGTTAGCCAACCTTAATCATGTAAACAATGGAAACAACCTAGGAATAACAGAGCAACAAGAAGGGTCCTAAGTGGAACCATCATATCACACTCAGATTGTAATGAGAGAGAAAATAAACTTCTATCTTGTTAAGCTGTTGTTAATTCAGGTCACTGTATTAGCAGCTGGATCAATAATCTAATTAATACAATGGGCTACTTAAAATTATCCCAATATGTGAGATAGGAGTTTTTCCCTGGCCTCATACTGCTACATTTACTAGTTAAACCATCCAAAGATATACTAGCATGGGAGTAGGTGTCTCAAGATACAATTTCTTTTGTATACAGGCTTTTTCCTTCCTGCTGTTTTATAAGTACTTGCATTACACTTGCGACTACCTTGGCTTGAACTCTGGTAGGAATCTAGAACTTTTCCATTATGGTGGATTAAAGGTAGTTGGATGGGGATGTTTTAGCAGTAACCACTTTCCTTTGGGAAAATGCTCATAGTGAAACATGAGTTTCATTATGAATGAAAGTAAAAATTAAAATCTGGCTATAAAACTACGTGTGTAGTATGATCCGAAGATTTAAAAAGCAAGGAAGTCCAGAAAGGTTCAGGAATTGAAGACACCAGACACCTTTGTAAGAGGAGGGTGCAAGGGAGGACCTGAACACAAAGTGCTCGGTTGAAAGTCCCTGAGATCCTCTTCCTGGGAAACATTCCTCAGCCATCCAGTTTCACTGTACACATCTGCTGCTTTCTTCGAAAGTCTGGCCCTTACTCAGAGGAAAGGACTGACTGATTTCTCTATATCCACATCCAGACCATCGAACATGAAATCTAGGCCATCTATGTATACCACCCTCTCCAAAACATCATTACTGGACTTTATTTTGACTTCCATTTGCAATTTCATCACATGGTTTTCTCTCTTCTAAGCCATCATCCAATGGCCGTGGAAATTACCAGAAGGAAACAAGTCACACAGACTTGGGTTTTTATCTTGGTGGTGAGAATTTGGACAACTTATTTCCTGTGTTTCCTCAGGAAAAAAGGGATTATATAAACCTCATTGGATTGTTTGAACAGTAGCTAAAAATCTACAAAGCTGCACAACATAGAGCTTAGTACAAGGAAGGTGCTCAAAACATGGAACTTCTATTAATTATCATTCTTGGTACCCTTCCCTACTAGACAGTGACCTCTCTGAAAATAGGGACTAAGCCTTATAAATCCCAAAGATCCAAATCCCCAACACCTTGGATAGCTCCTAGGCTATAAGAGGGAATAAATATTTTGCTAAATGAATATTTATTCTAAAAAATATTTATACTAAAATATTTTGCTGAATGAATCCTGTCTCTTCTTCATCCTTTAAATAGCTTAATTTATCATCTCTTCAACATCTTCAAACACTCTCTTTCCAGTGTATTCATCTTTTCTTTCTGGAATCATTTCTTATATCCTAAAATATAACTGGATTGACCTTGCTGCCAATTCTAATACCTTTACTGGTATACTTTTTAAAAAGTAAACTTTTTATTGAAATAAACATACATACAATGTGCAAGTCATAAATATACAGCTTGGTGGATTTTCATTAAATGATCATACCCAATATAATCATCAGTGAGATGAAGAAACAGAACATTAATCCCTTTTGGTCACCACTCCCCTCCAAAGGTAATCATTTTCCTCACTACTAACACCAGAGATTAGTTCTGCCTGTTTTTGAACTTTATAGTAATGAAGTCATACAGTATGTACTCTTTTGTGTCTGGCTGCTTTTGATAAACATTACTTTTATGAGATTCATTCATATTGTAGTGTGTAGCTGTAGGTTGTTCTTTCTCTTTGCTATATAGTATTGTATGAATTTATTCATCCTATTGTTGATGAATATTTGGGTAATTTCTAGTTTGTGGCCGTTACAAGTAATGCTGCTATAAACATCCTGTGCATATCTTTCGGTGCACATACGCATGCTTTCTTGTGGGTATAAAAATATTTCTATACCCACTAAATATTTCTATATAGAAATATAGAAAATTTCTATACCCAATTGAATAGAAATATAGAAATATACCGGCAATGTAGAAGTGGATTGCTGGATCATAGAGTGTCCATGTGTCTAGCTTTGGCAGATACTGTCAAACACTCTTCCAAAGTGGTTATAATTCTTACAAGCAGCAAGCAGGTTTTTAAAAAAAATCCACTTGGATAATCTTTGTCTTTTAAATAGAGTATTTCCATTAATATTTAATGTAGTTACTGATGTATTTGAGTTTATATCCACTATCTTACTATTTGTTTTCTATTTGTCCTATTTGTTTTTCTTTTTTTTTCCCCTTTGTTGTCTTCTTTTTGGATTATTAAACATCTTTATATTCCATTTTTTCTTTTAGCTTATTAATTGTATATTCTTTAATTGTATTTCTGTAGTGGGTACCTTGAAAATTACAATATGTAAAGGACTTAATAGTACCAAAAATTAGTACTTTTACCACTTCCTGGACAATATTAGGATCTTACAAGATTTTAACCTCACTGACTTTCCTTCCTCTGTTGTTTTATTGCTATTTTGCATGGTTAATGCTCCTTTCGAGTGAAACACATCCTTACCATCTCTGATGTTCTTCATTGCGTCTTATCTTTCTGTATTACTAACTCGGATAATTTTCCACCTGTCTCAAGAAATCCCTTTGGTGTTTCTTTAAGTGCAGGTTTACTACAAACTCCCTCAGCTCTTGATTTTCTGTAAATGTCTTTATATTGCCTTCATGTTTGAACGATTTTTTTTTTTTTTGAGGAAGATTAGCCCTGAGCTAACATCTGTGCCCATCTTCCTCTACTTTATACGTAGAACGCCTACAACAGCATGGCTTGACAAGCAGTGTGTAGGTCCGCATCCAGGATCCGAACCGGCGAACCCCAGGCCGCTGAAGCGGAACGTGCGCACTTAACTGCTGCACCACCAGGCCGGCCCCTGAAGGATATTTTTGCAAATACAGAATTCTAGAATGACAGCTTATCTTTCATTAAAGATGTCATTTTACTGTTTTGGCTTCCATCATCCCTACTGAGAAATTAGCTGTCAGTCTGATTGCTGCTCTTTCTGGCTGCTTTCAAGATTTTCTTTATTTTGGGTTGTTAGCAATTTGACAGTGGTATGCCTGGTACTTTTTTTTAATCCTGCTAATAACTCAATGCACTTGTTGAATCTGTGCTTATTTTCGTTGGTCACTTTGGGAAAGTTCTTTGCCATTATCATTTCAAATAATGCTTCTACTCCATTTCCTCTCTCTTCCCCTTCTGGGACTCAAATTATGTCTGTGTTCGACTTTTCACAAATTATGTCTCTTGTGTTCCCTTTGCTTTTTTCTATACTTTTAATAGTTTTGGCTCTCTGTACTATAATTTTGTCTTTCTGATTTACTAATCTACCCTTCAGTTTTAACAAATCTGCTGTTAAACCCATCTATTAAGTTCATAATGTCAGTGATTTTTCAGTTACAGAATTTCAATTTGTTTATATTTTTATATATTCTGAGTCTCTGGTGAAGTTCTCAATCTTATTATCTATATTCTTGAACTTACTCAGTTATTTTAAAGTCCATTTCCGATAATTCTAATTTCTGGGTCACTTGTTGGTCTGTTTTTATTTGGGGTTTTTTGCCCCCTTTAGCCTGTTTCTTGTTATCCTTGGTGTTTTTTATCAAATACTGGACACTGTGTAGGAAAATTGCAGAGGGTCTGGCTGATGTTATTCAGCA